CTAGATGCTCTCCTACCCCACCGATCGCGTAGGATCCACCGGGTTTTCCAACCGAGAGACATGAACTGATGACCCCTGTCTTATGTCAAAGCAATTTTCCAGAACGAGTAAATTTTGACAAATTACAGCCACAGTTCCGGCCCAGTGCAAAAGTTCCCTTCTTACATTTTTTTTCCCTTGATGACACAGTCGACATGTCTGACGGTGGAAAACTGTACTGAGGTGAAGCAAGAGCCAAAACACCAAATGATGCACTACATTTTAATTACATAGCAGGGGGATAATTAAATTCATTCCAATCATCCCGCAGCATTTAGTCCAACTGGATGCGCCTTTCAGATAACAGCATCTCGTTATACAGACAAACATGAAGCACGGCTGCTGTATTTAATACTGTCACACAGCGCTGAGTTTCACAATTAACAAACCCGAAACACCAGGCCAAGGTACCGGGCCGGTTCTCCAGCATCCAAACTGGATGCCAGAATAGTGCGCCGGCCCCCACAGAAAAGGCGTTTCGCATGCAGTTAGCGTAGCAGCTTCACGCACGAGCCGTCGGCAGGTTCCTTTGCATAGCAGGATTTCTTATAATCATCCGGAAACACGAAACTCCAAACATAAAATAACACAATAATAATATTGCCTAAGATTTTTCTAATAATTTTCTAGCCTAGCGCTGTTCATTGTCTTCAATATTTCCACTGACATTTAATAATTTAAAGTTTTATAGAATGCATGAGAATGGACTTGATCTTGGGTACAATTAAAACACAAAGTCCATTACCTCATAAGCTAATCTACTGTGGCTATTAGGACATGTTGCGTAAGGGATTGTGTCAGAGTCAGTTACTGTACTCTGTGCTCTGATACTTACAAGTATGTCATTCAGGTTACAAGGACACATGAGACTAAATGTGTGGGGCCGCAGCCTGTATGCCTGTATGCCAGGCTCGTAAATCATACTATAGGACGGTATGGATGCAAGAACGTTCAAATGAAAAGAAAGTGCAAGCTTTGGAGGAGATCAGAGACAGTTCAAGGACAACACTTACCCTTCCACCATGGATCGGCACGCAACCAAAAGAACGTGTTCAGCTGCACAGCTAATCTGGCAGAAACATTATCCCCAGTGAGTTCTAAAAACTTGGTTTCAGACAAGGGCGTAGATCAACGAAACCAACGTACCCCCAGCCAGTTCCTTAGCACTACCTTGCTGGTTATACTTTGAATAGGAAGGATTCAAAGGTGACTTACAGGACCCTGGTGCAACACTGCAGAAGAAAATGTGAGCAGATAGAGCTGATTTTCAGAGTCCTGGAGGTCAAGGCGTGTCCCTGACTTACAAATGAGTCATATTTTAAAAGTCAAAACTGTTTGGAACTCATTTAGATTTTTACCAAGCTATAATGCTGAACATCTGCCTTGTTTGATAACATTATTCCTGACTCTGAACCCTTTATCAGGTCTAAATGAACTCAGCACATTTCCTTGATAGAGTACCGTTACTGCTACTCGTGATCTTGATAAAGGATCCGAAGCCAATCCCAGAAGCTACGAGAACAATCCATCATTTCCTAACAGCTTATTTTGGTCAAGTTTGTCGGGGGAACTGGAGCTTTACCCAGGCCATTGTAGGGCACATACAAGCATAAAACCACAATCATATACTACACGCACGAATTAGCCTAACGACATGACTGGACCAGGCAAAGAAGGCAGACGACCTAGAGGGGAGATCATACAAACCCCACACATGGAGTGGAGGTGGGAGGTGGGATCACTGTTCTTAAAATACTACCAAATGATTGGTTGGAACTGCATTCGTTTCTCTGATGTGATAGGCTGATGTGTGCTATTAAGTATTGCTCCTTAACAACAGTGAGCAATTGGCAGCAATTGGGTTCACGTTCATCCCATTGCGTTCCATGCCGTGTTTCCCTGTCACAGTTCCATGGCCGACTTAGAGGCTGCTCACTGACTGAGAAACCCTGCCATCAGTGTCAGGTCATATCCCAGTCTCATTGTCATTATGGTCTGAGCTTAGCTATAAAGACTCCAACTGATACAAAAATCAAGCAGATTTGTGAGGAAGAAGAGCTGGAGAGGCCTTTGGGGCGATGAGGAGCATAGTGGCGTGTTTCCCACAGCAGGGTGCAGAGTTTTTCCCACTCAGTTTGTCGGTTTGTTTATTTGAATTCCCTGTTATTTTTGCATCTATTCCAGTAATGTAATTTTGAGTTAATTGAGCTTAAAGAGCCAGATGTCTCACTTTATGTTTAACGTCTAATGAAACACTATGCAGTATTACAGCAAGAGATTTCTGAGAAGTTCTATAAGCAATTTGGCAAAATTATACCGAAACGTGATAAGCAGTCAGGTTAATGCGTCTGCTTGTTTGTACATCAGATTCTTCTCACTCTGGAAACACCAGCAGATGCATTTACTATTAGCTGGAGATGATATTCTGCTGACTTAAATAAGTCTAATCATGTGCAGCCCATCTGAAAACTGCTCAAGCTACAAACATGTACTTAGGTGCATAAAGTCAGGACTCCTTCAAATTCCCTGCCACTTTTATTTGCTGTGCGAAATATCATTAACATCACCATCAATGTCATCATGCATTTTCTCTCCAATGTTTCACAGCCAGGCAAGATTAGTGGTTCACCTTACAGAGGTTTCTTCCTAATTATGCATTAGAAACATTTCCACAACAGCCTTTTGGATACTTTGAACAGTTCCTGTCATTTATGTGCACTATTATCTATTTACATCTATTTATTTTCTCACTTTGACTTCTGAAGGCCCAGATTGTGATATATGTAAATCGCAGTTAAAAAGGTACCAGCAAAGATTCTGGCTGCAGCAGTAAAAAAGAACACATTTTGTGATACGTTCTCAAAAATCAGCCCTGTGTGTTCTTAGTATCTTAGTATATAAATCCCAATCAACAACTTCCTGCTGGTTCGCAGAACGCTTACAGTCTGTTTAATTATACTGTATGATAACCAGAGATCTTGTTTGTTGTAGTCTAAAAAATAACCAAGATTAAGTGCCTGGGATCATAGCTATGAAGCCCAATTACAGTTAAAACAATTGCTGTACATGCCACAGTCTAAACAATAGTGATTTTTTCAATTGCAGCTGGGAAACAAAGCCTCGTTCTGGGATTTCTAATCCTTGACCAGAGGGCTAATGAATGTGCAAGCTTTTTAAGTGCTGAAAACCATGCATATAATATTTCATTCTCGGGCCAGGATTGGGGACAACTGCTGAACCACAACTCTGGCAGCAAAAATCAGAAGTGTTCATGTGTGGCCTATTACAACCGCCCCAAGAAGCATGCTTCCAAGCATGAATTGGCTATTGTGATTCCCAGGGATCGTGAACTTGCCTGTACAAGGTCAACTGTGTCCATGGTGAGACTCGCCTGTGTACGTGGCAAAATGTCTTGATAGAGAAAAAAAAAATATTTGTAAATAAGTTTTCGATGGTAAAAAATGCATTTTGATCCAAATGTCCCCCAGAATTTGCCACGGCTCTGACCCCGGGTGATTCTCACAAAAATGACGATAACATCATGTCTTTATACGTCTTTTTCTTCATTAACGTGTGTCATTCATGGTGGCACCAATCTATCAATCAGATGTTTCTTGGTACAGAAACCTTTGTAACAGAACTGGAAATCTTTCTTAAGGTGCAGCTAATAATGCAAGATGGCAGACAGGGGGAAGAACTGACACAGACCGTTCTTTCGCATGCCAGGGCAGAGCGAGAACATCCATATTTTCGGCCGTATCTCTCTCCTTTTATCCATCTGATCCATTTTAAGGAGCTTCCATCAAGTAAGGGGACTCTGCTCCGTTGTGTGTAGCAGACGGTGGCGATGAATGAGCCCAGCATGGGTCATCGGTGAAGAACAACAGCGCTTCATTGTATCTGCACGATTTAATGGCTTCCGAAGATCGCCGCGCTCAGCCACGTGCACGACTCCTCTAGGCTCCTCCCCCCTACATCAATGTCCCTTTCATTGCATGAGATGACTGTACGTGTTTTGAACTTGATGAAGACAAAGTAACAAGTATTCAGGTTGCCGTGAATTGGGGAACACCATCCTCAAATGTGAAAGACTAAATTTAAAAAGGCTGGTTCCAGGGCAGTGTGT